ATTCAGTAGGTGCCATGCATTATGCTAAAAATTATAAATTTAAAGATACACTAGACACATAGCTGTTATGTTTGCCCTTAAGATAGAGAAGAGCAGGAGGAAGAGAAAGAAGAAGGGGAGGAGGGGAGGAGGAGGAGGAGGAGGAGGAGGAGGAGGAGGAGGAAAACCTCTTATCATGGAAATAAGACTAGAGCCTACTCAGACTAAAATTTAATAGCTAAGGAAAACCTATGATGGTAGGTAATAAAGAAAATGCCTACCCCTCTGTACAGTATCTTTACAATAAAAAAAAGGTGAAAAAAGCCAATCATAAGTAAACTTGAAACAGTCTGCAAAGGCTCAATAGCAAAAGACTTTGTATACAGACAGAAAATAATCAGAGTTACATGTTATAAATAGAGAAATTAATGTAGAATTGTAAGTTTAAAAAAATCACTATATATATATATATACATATATATATATATATATATATATAAAATGGAATTCTAAGCCTCCATCAGAAAGAATGACATCGCCCCATTTGTTAGGAAATGGAAAGACTTGGAAAAATTATATTAAGTGAAGTAAACCAGGCCCAAAGAAACACAGGGGCCATGGTTTCCCTTATTTGCAATAACTAGTATAAGTCTAGGACAAGCAGAAAAGGTCAAAAGCTATATACATATGACCATATAAGGTGATGTTAAGCGAAATGAACCCCAAGATAGGGACACAAATATCTTTTCTCTTTCTTGCTATTGTTTCTAGTGTATTTATAATGTACCATGCGAATTTTCTGTTGCTTTGTATGTTCCTTCCCCAAGATATAACCCCTGTTTTCACTGTATTTGTCGGTGCTTTGCATCTTGTATGCACATTTTTTTAATTTGGGGAGGGGAAGGAAAAAAACAAAATGCTTAAATAAGGATACAGGTTGACCCATTGTAACAATGAGATGTACAAGACACTATGTTGAAAAACAAACTTTACAATTTAGGCAGAGAGGGGGCAAAGGGGGAATGTAGTTGTGGAGGTGGAAGGAAAGGGATGGTAGGGGGAAAACAAAGGAGGAGGCAATAATGTTCAATAGGAAATACGCTCATTACCTTACTCATGTAACTGTAACCCCTCTGTACAGCATTTTTACAACAAAAAATGTACAAAAAAATCACAAAGGTCAGGGGATGTAGCTCAGTGATAGAAAATTTTCCAAGCATAAATGATATTATAGGTATAACCCAGCACCACAAAAAAAAACTAAAAGTAAATAAAAATCATAGATATGCTTGCATAGTCTAAACAATTCATGCATTTGATTTTCCTCAACAATGCTTTCTAATTAACATTTCATACTTCATACTTCAATATAATTGTTAAACAATTTATATCATCATTTTAGATTTATAATTATTTTATATAAATTATATATTTATATATAAATAATCTCCCCAAACCACCTCAGCCTCTAGCCAACATCTGCATTAAATAGCTATTCTAAGTTGGACACCAGTGGCTCATGCCTATAGCTAAACACCTGTAATCCTAGTTACTCAGGAGGTTGAGATCAGTTTGAAAGTCAGGAAATTCCATGGGATCCTTATGTCCAACCAGCCAAAAGCCAGAAGCTTAGCTGTAGCTCCACTATATGGCACTGGTCTTGAGCAATCAAGCTCAGGAACAATGCTCATGTCCTGCCTTCAAGCCCAAAGACTGGCACAAAGCAAAAACAAAAGCAATAACAGCAACAAACAGTAAGGCATACACTCAAAATATGCCACTTAAGCTTAAGAATTCATTCATGTTATTTATGTATATACCACAACAGTAAATATAGTACCTAAGACATTGTCAAATGTTCCATGCACAGAAAGACCCAAAAACAAACATTTTGGCCAAATACCATTTAATGGAGCGGAGTCAAAAGTTTGAAAGCATAACATCATGTTGAACTGGCCAGACGAGGCTTCATGAAGAAAGCAGCCCCATCTGCAGTTGCACACATAAAAGCTCATGCAGCTCAGCATAGCGCTTACAAGCAGAAGCTTTAAGTAGAAGCTCAGAGGTTAGTAGTTCAGAGTTTGAATGCTGTGTCAGCTACTGAACTTACATAATCAAATTACTGAGCTTTTGTTCCTTATCCTTAACTCTGGGATAAGTATTCTAACCAAGATAGCTGTGATGATTGAAGGAAAGGCAGGGGATTGGCTCAAATGGTACGCTGTCTGCCTAGCAAACACAAGGCCCTAAGTTAAAAATCCAGCACCATCAAAAAATAAATAAATAAAAAGATAGACTGAGATACGGAATAGAAAGCATAGCACGAAGAGTTGAGCAAAATAATGGAATTTTTATAACTACAAATATAATAGTGTTATTCCAGCTATCATAAACTCAAATTTTTATCATGGATTTTTAAATCTTTGCATTATAATATGAAATTTATAATTGTAACATTAATTTTTTTTCCAAAAACTAGTCCCACTGAAAAAGTGTGGGGTAGAGTCAATGTGAAAAATAACAATAATAATAGAAATAATAGGGCTGGGAAGGTGGCTCAGTGGTAGAGCACTTGCCTTGCATGCCTGAGGCCCTGGGTTCGATTCCTCAGCACCACATAAGCAAAAAGAAAAAAGCTGGAAGTGGCGCTGTGGCTCACGTGGTAGAGCACTAGCCTTGAGCTGAAGAGCTGAGAGACAGCGCTCAGGCCCAGAGTTCAGGCTCCACAACCGGACCCAAATAAAAAAATAGAAATAATAATTAAAATAATGAGACAAATTATCTAAACATGCTTTTGAGGAAAAATGTTTTTTTAATGCATCACATTATACTTATTAATTACCTATAGTGCTTAGAAAAGGAGATAATTTTTGAGGAAAAGTAAATTGTACAATCACCATGTTTTCTCCAAATGGAATATCTTTCAAATCTTTTTGCCATGCTGTTCTTTTTGTTTTGTTCTGTTTTTTATTTGGCCTCTTTACAGACATAATTAGTATAGTTAGTTGGGCTAGTTGGAGTCTGGCAACATCACAAGCATGAACGTGGACACGTTTCATACCTAAAAGTAGTTGGATTTCAACAAGCATCAGTTCTGTCAGGTTTCACCTTAGAGGTTGGAAGCTAATCAGAGCTGACAGGTCCAGAAGATTCCATCTCCAATTAACCACCAAAAATGCCAGACTGGAGGCATGGCCCAAATGGCAGTGTACCGGCTATGAACAAGCAAGGCCTCAAATTCAAGCTCCAGTATCAAATAAACCTAGACAGACATAGAATCAGAAAATGCTGGAGGCTTGCCTTTCAAGTGGCAGAATATCTATTTTTCACTCAGTATACACTAGTTCCTGAATTCAGTCCCTAGTACTAAGAAGAAAGCAACAAAATTAAGGCAGATATATAGCTCTGTGTGTGTGTATGTGTGTGTGTGTGTGTGTGTGTGTGTGTGTGTGTGTGTGTGTGTGTGTACACGTTAGTCAGCTTTAGAAGACGAGACCTTGTCATTTGTCACAATGTGATAGAAGAAAATACTAAGAAAATAAACTAAGTACAGAAGGAAAAATAATACAAGATCTCACTTATATATTTCACATGTAAACATACATAGCTAAAGAATAAAACTATGTTTCACAGCATGATGAAGGATAGAACGTAACAGATACGCAGGGTAAAAATGTCCAGAAATGTAATGATAGGATGAGTACATTGTACTGGAGATCTTTTTAAATAAGTAGATTTTAGCCACCCTGATCATTTAAAAAAGAAACAACTGTTCATGAGAAGACAAATTGTTAGTTGCTTCACTACAATAACCTTCTTTTCTTTTTATTTTTGGGGGGATGGGGTGCTGGATCTGGCATTTGAACTTGAGACCTGGGCATTGTATCCTGGTCCTGAGGTTTGGTGCTCAAGGCCAGTGCCCTACCACTTGAGCTACAACCCTACTTCCTGGAGAAGAATTTTTATATCAACAGTACACTTATCCTGAAATGTCTAAAATCAGGAATACATTTTAAAATAAAAATACATTATGGAATGGTAACCCTTTGTACAACATCTTAATAATCACAATAAAATTATATTTAAAAAAATAAAGCTAGCCAGGACAGTGGCTCGTGCTGAGATTTGAGGATAGTGGTTCAAAGCCAGCCCAAGCAGGAAAGTCCTCAAGACTCTCCAAATAACTGCTAGAAAAAAAAAAAGTGAAGCTGTAACTCAAGTGATAGAGTGCTAGCCTTGAGCAAACAAAGCTCAGTGACAATGTCCAGAACTGAATTCAAGCCCCAGGACTGAAACCAAAAAAAAATTTTAAGTAAAAAAATAATAATAATAAACATATAGCTACAATTTGTGGTTCTTTCCTAGTAAGAATTCTCTCAACTAAAAAGTCCTAAGTTACAAGTTAGTTTGCATTTAAGTTAATTCTTAATAATAATAATGGAGAGGAGTTGGGGCGTTTATCAAACTCCTTGTAGCAATGTGGAAGTGTGTGTCTGTGGTCCCAATCACTCATGAGAATAATAGGGAGACAACTGTATCTATCTATAGACGAACAGACTAAACCTATCTCAAAAAATAATTGGGGTTTTTTGCCAGTCTTGGAGCTTGAACTCAAGGCCTGGACACGTCCTTGAGCCTCTTGTGCTCAAGGCTAGCATTCTACCACTTGAGTCATAGTGCCACTTCTTCCTTTTTCTGTTTATGTGGTACTGAGGAATTGAACCCAGGGCTTCATGCATGCTAGGCAAGCACTCTACCACTAAGCCACATTCCCAACCCTCAAAAAAAAATTGGTTTTAAGTAGATTCAGAAACAAATTATATTTCTATTCTTTCTCAGTGTTAGGTTGATTGCTGTTCTATGCTCTAGACACAAGTAATGAAGCACTATAGTTCAACTCTTAATAATGTCTCATGAATCAAAGTTCAAACCAAGTTGTTGTTTACTAACTTTATAAACACAAAAGCAATATTCACAGGACTCATGTAAACATGACACTGACTCACCATCAAGGAGACGCATGCCCAGTTGTTTTCCACAGGGAGAATGGCCTTGCCGACATGGCCAGTTATCTTCCCAATATTCCTTGATTAACAATAATTCAAGCTCAACTCCATCTGCAAGATGAGTGCTACCAGTGGTCATAAAAAAAAATAATGAAATAAGATTATCAATATAGGAACAAAATCTGTCCTTGGTCCCAAACCACTAAATTCTGATAACTAAATATTCACAGAAATGTATAAAAACTATGAAATCATAAAAATTATACATGCATTTAATTTAATAAATTCATTATTTCCTAAATAGCATTAATATAAATAATCATCTCCTGACCTCTATTCCCTAACAAAAATGTTCTCAGCTGTCTCAACAAAATAAAGATTATTTCTGACATGTAAAATCAGAAGTGTATAATGATAATGCTCAAAATATGAAAGCATGCCAACTTTACATCCCTCATCACCAGTAGCAATAACTGAGGAAATTACAGAATATTTTTGTTAATGTTAGCAATATTCTCAATAGCATTAAATGCAGTATGACTACAGCCAAAATTACTTTGACATTTCCCAGATTTCTGAAAAATACTCCCACTATTTATGAAGAAAAAAATACTTTCATTACTAGCACCATTGTTCATTCTTGTTAATGCAGTGGTTTCATGATAAAATACTTATACCAAATCTTGAAATAGAGGTTTATCATGTCCTAGTTTTATCTCTTTCCCAAGAGTGCATATCTGTGAAACACGCTACTTATAAGTAAAATTAATGTTATGTGCCTCTTCATTACCTCAGACAATAATAAATTAGGCTAAAACCTGTGAAAAATCAATAAGCAACTGTTAACAACAGGTACTATTCAAATAAAATGACAATGTTAATGGCCTATAGTGAGCAAATCACTCTTTAGACCTGCACTGTAACCGATACAAAAATAACAAGATATAATCCACAATGTCAAAGAAACCTCAATATGATTATTACCAAAACACTTTCCTCTCAGTTCTCCACAGTTGTTTCCAAGAACAAACAACTAAATTCTAACCCAGCTCCGTGCTAGCACAAGGGGAAGGCAGCAGAATAGCACAGCATCATACCAGGACACAGCAGCAACCACAGAGGTGAGATTTCAGGGTTTCTCTTGCAGGTAGAGAGCAACAAGTTTCAACAGAACTACTGAGAGAAGACATCAGCCACTACCTGCAATACAACTCCATTGCCACCTGTAAAAAAAAATGACCTTCATTAGCTTTATAGCACTGCACAACCCTTTTCAGTCAGAATTACATTTTAATGATTCACTCAGGCGCCCTCTCTCTCTTTCCTTCCCCCCCCCCCCATGCTGATCCTGGGGCTTGAATGTAGGACTTAGGCTCTGTCCCTGAGCTTCTTTTGCTCAAGATAGCACTCTGACACAAATGGAGCTCCATTTCCAGCTTTTTTGTAGTTTAGTGAAGATAAGAATCTCACAGACTTTCCTGCCTGGGCTGGCTTTGAACTGCAATCCTCAGATCTCAGGCTCTTGAATAGCTAGGATTATGGGTGTAAGCCACAGGTACCCAGATATTCTTTACTCTTTTAGCAACCAATTCTTCATTATATTTCTTACCACTATCCTCTACCATCTCACTAAAACTGGGAGTCCTCTACTAGGCTACAATGATCTAAAGGTCCTCCTCAGCTTGGTTTCCAACTTCCCCCAGTACCTTACATAATAGTATAGTAAGAAAGAAAAAGACGACAACTACAATATGCATCACAGAAGAAATGTCATTTAAGATGACTACTAAAGAAAGACTTGCTGACGGAAAGAGAGAAAATCAGAGAAGGGTAATATTTTTGTTGGTGTATAAAGATAAGATGAAAGGGGCATGAGGGGGCTGGGAATGTGGCTTAGTGTTAGAGTGCTTACCTAGCATGTATGAAGCCCTGGGTTTGATTCCTCAGTACCACATAAACATAAAAGTAAGGAGAAGGCTGACAGCAAAGAACTCCAAATCGTGTAAGACAAGGATGGCGTAACCTGATGGTATATAGAAATATGGTGACCCAACTCACCATCAGTGATCCTTAGGTCTTTATCTAATGGATCTTGAATTTAGACACATAGAGAATATATAGACTCTCTTTTTAGAAAGCTGTTGATGTGATATTTACTCAATAAAAAAATGTAACAGGCAGGGTATCAGTAGCTCACGCCTGTAATCCTAACTACTTAAGAGGCTGAGATCTAAGGATCGCAGTTCAAAGCCAACCAGGGCAGGAAAGTCCATGAGACTTTTATCTCCAATAAACTACTCTGAAAAAGCTAGAAGTGGTGTTGTGGCTCAAGTTATAGAGCACTAGCCTAAGCACAAAGAGGCTCAGAGACAACACCCAGGCACTAAGTTCAAGCCCTCAACCAGGGGGGAAAAAAGCCAAACAGGAACATGATAGAAATTATTTCAAGGTGCCAACATATTAGTAGTGACTAACTCTTAGAAGGAAGCTTGCAGATTATATTTATCTTACTGCTAAAATTTTCCAAATATCCTACTGAGCAAACTAAAAATAAATCTAGCAGTTTCTTGAAGTTCAATAATTAAATCTAGCATTAATCCTTTTAAAGGTTCTGAGATAGAATTCCTCGACAATGTAATTATCCCCAAAAACATTTCTCTGCTTCCCCACCCCACCCATGTTCTAGCTACCTCCACAATATCCTCTTGTCCCAAATGCATGCATATGGAAATTCCATCTTCATCATACCTCCAACTACGATGATTCCACACATTTTGATACTGGCCATATTTCATTCTGTTGATAACTAGTCTCAATAAGAAGAGATAAGTCAGGTACAGGTGGCTCACACCTATAATCCTAGCTATTCAGGAGGCTGAGATTTGAGAATCCCAGTTCAAAGCCAGACCTAGCAGGAAAGTCCATGAGACTCTTACTTCTAACTAACTACCAGAAAACCAGAAGTGTTGCTGTGGCTCAGCATGGTAGAGCACTAGCCTTGAGCAAAAAGAGCTCAGGGACAGTGCCCCAAGTTCAAGCCCCATGACAGACAAAAGAGAAAAGAAAAGAAAAGAAAGAAAAGAAAAAGGAAAGACAATGTCAGGGACTGGTGGCTAATACCTATAATCCTAATGACTCAGAAGGTTGAGACCTAAGAGATTATGGCTCCAAGTTACCTATGCAGAAAAGTATGTGAGATTACAATTCAAATTAACCAGTCTCTCAAGTGGAAGTACAGCAAAAATGCTATAATAATGCAAGTCACTAATTTCAAGACCCAGGAATGGAGGGAAGAGAGAGTAAGAGAAAGAGAGAGAGGGAAAAGAAAGAGAAAGAGTCTCTAGAGTATCACCTACTCCAACCCTACTTTTTATCTGTCACCTATTAGCAACATGACTTAGATAAATTAATTAATCATAGTTAAGCCTCAATTTCTTTATTAGTAAAGGAGAGGAATGTGGCTCAAGTAGTAGAGTGCTTGCCTAAGACCTTGAGTTCAAATCCCAGTACTGCCAAAATAATTCTTCATCGCTAAAATGATAATTGTACATCTTACATTAATGGGCTAAAATAATATATTAGTGTTTAGTATTCAGTAATGATTATAGGGTTTCACTGTTTACACATCTCTTAGGTAAAATAGTCAAGTTCATGTAATAGCAGAAGTCTGGGTCACAAGCATCTGTGATACATGCACATATTATGTATTATGTATGTAATGTATGTATGTATGTATGTATGTATATACATATGTACATACAACTAGATTTCATCTACTTTCTTGCCAAAAAGTAGGCAGGACATTCAGAGTTTTTAAATTTTTGAATTTCAGTTCCTTAATGCTGGAACTGAAATACAAACAGGATCTTTGTGGCTTTGGGCTCTGTAATTGGTATTCAATATTCCACAATGGTTCTTCTGCTCTAGTGTCACCAAGCTAACTTTTCAGTTTATAATGGATCTCATAACACTACCTGTGAGCTTAAATCCTATGTAACCTTCTGCCAGGTACTACTTTACACATATTTTAAATTATGTCTCCAAAGTTAATGATGCTAGGAGTATAGCTCAATGTGAGTGGATCTGCTTAGCATGTGCAAAGCTCAGACCTCAGCCCCTAGCACTGTGAAACAGGGACACTGTGACAAATACAACAATTGTAATAATTATAATTTTAGTAGTAGTAGAAAAATAAATATAATAATGACTAGAGTAGAAAAAGCTTATTTTGGAATTCAAATACTTAGGGAAATGTCTAATACTTAAAACTTAGTAGATTACCAAACTTCAGAAAGATCTTGTTATGTATCATGCAAACACATAAGGCACAAGTTATACTTCCACTGCTTATTGAAATACTTATAAACTGAAATTTATGCCTACATCTACATATCAAAAAATAGAAAAAAAGACATTACTCAGGACAGAAAGACTGCAATGTTTTGTTCAGTACTAGGGTTTGAACTCAGGGCCTCATGTTTTTTCCAATTATGCTCTACAACTTGAGCCTTACCTACAGTCCAGCTTTTTTGGTGGTTATTTTGGAGATAGAATCTAGTGGACTTTGCTGCCTGGGCTGCTCAAAAGTCACCATCCTCTACAGCTCAGTCTCCTGAGTAGAAGATTACAGGTGTGAGCAACAACAGTATCTGATACAGCTACAATTGTTTATCTAAAATAGCTATTTGTACTGGTCAGACTTGTTGGAAGCTGGACTCCAGTGGCTCACACCAGTAATCGTAGCTACTCAGGAGGCTGAGATCTGAGGATCACCGTTCAAAGCCAGGCAGGAAAGTCTATGAGACTCTTATCCAATTAACCACCAGAAAACTGGAAGTGGCACTGTGGCTCAAGTGGTAGAGCACTAGCTTTGAGCTGAGGAGCTCTGGGACAGTGCCCAGGCCCAGAGTTCAGGCCCCACAATTGACAAAAAAAAAAAATCAGTAAGCTGAAACATATCATGAATGAGAGTCTAATGGGAGGTGAGTAGATAAAGAAGAGTCAGCAAATAGAGTCAGAATACTCAACGTACACTTGTGAAAATAGAAGTAGGAAACAATTGTTGGGGGAAGGGTTGGGTAGGAATGGAGAAGAACAATGGAAGGGTGACTTTGATCAAGATGCACTGTACATCTATTTGAAGATAATAAAAACAAACAAAAAAATGTTCCATGCTATAGTAAGTCCAATACTAGCATCAAAGCTAATATATGAGTCAGCTAAGTGGTTCGTGCCTGTAAACCTAGTTTTTCCAGAGGTAATGTTCAAGAGGATTTTAGCTCAAGGCCAGCCTGAGCAAAAATTAGCAAGACTCCATTTCAATCAGTAAGATTGGCATGACAGTATGTGCCCGTGATGGGAGCTAACAGGAGCAATATAGGATGGTTTTGGTTTAAGACCAATCTCCAGGCTTAATATATATATATATATATATATATATATATATATATATATATATATATATATATATATATATATATATATATATGAGGCCCTATCTGAAAAATAATTACAGTAAAAAAGAGCTAGAAATACTGCCCAAGTGGTAGAACATTTGCCTAGTAAGTAGAAGGCCCTGAGCTCAAAGTACCAGTACTACCATAACACATACGTGCGTGCGTGCGTGCGCACACACACACACACACACACACACACATTAATGCATAGTCAAGATCAAACGTGGTTTTAAGAAATTATTTAAGAAATGTGTTTTGCCTTCATGTTTAGTATAGAGGTAACTTGAACTCAGAGAGTTTTAGCTTCTTGTGTTTTGAAAAATGAATTTGCTCCTTGATAAATTTAGCAACACAAATGGCTCTTTTCTGGAAATATTATTATAAATAACAATTGTTATTTGCAGAAAATTTTTAATTGACATTTAATTTAAACAATAAATTTAACATAAAAATTGATTTGAAGTTACCAAGTGCCATCATGCTGTTTTTACTCAATATCACAAATAGTATACCTTTGGTAGCCCCCAAAATCTTAAATAATCTTAAATTTTTGGTACAAGACAAGATCAATTATCATATTCCTGAAAGCAAGGACTGTTTTGACCATACCACAGGCCTTAAACACAATAAAAACTCCTCAAATGTGTTGACTATCTCTAATCCAAGAGCCCTAAGACAAAAGTAATATAATTTTCCTAAGAATCAAATAAGGAAAACTTTCCAGAGAGCTGAAATTTCAAAACAAGTTATGGAGGAAATCTTACAAC